GAAGTTGCCTTCGTGGTTATCCTAGTCTTATTTCCTGAATGACTATATCTGGTAGCGGTAACCTTCTATTCTTCATCGGGAAATCCCAGTAACCAGCATCAGCTGTTAGAAATCGCTTTCATTTCACGATAATAGTCGAGCATTCACCTTAATGGGTTGCAATTTGCAATTTGTGATAAATGGCTTACACTGAAGAGAACTCCACCACCAACGACATATTTCTAATTTGTATTTTGAGAGAAGGTTATTAACAGAAGCCCTATTTCATAAATGTGGGATTAATCATTAATGCTACAGGAAAAACCGCGGTATAGACATCTTATACTCCTAACTTACATCTCGCAACTGTAGTGAGGCTTATGCCGCTGCTCTTGATATTATGAAACCATCCGTTCAGCCGTGGCATGCTGCCCCCTTTTGCAAACCTCCATTCCATGACCTCCTAGAGGATGCAGATGGGTGGCTGACTTCCTCTGTGGCCCCAAGATATCCATCGTAATTCGCGGGTTCTCCTCTTCATCCCACAACGTCAACGCGGGAGTTCCCCAGGGATCGGTCTTAGCTCCAACACTGTTGGATATTAACGATTAATCATCCGGTTTCGGTGGATGGCCTAGTTCTACTAAAGAGCTGTTCATCTCGGGGTGTCGGACTCCAGATGACCGAGGACTTGATCTGGCTTGAACACATTTTGTCAATGCATTTTTAGGCTTCTGCCTGTGCGGCTGCTTTGGTGTAAAAAAATACTAGTACATTACATACCGTCGTGCTGGTGTCATTACTGGCTGAGTACTTTAATGCCTTGAGGCGCATAGCGTCCTGAGCGACGAGAATAATGACCTTCTCCACCGAGGTATATAGAGAGCATTATTTCACTATTAAAGATCACATATTACAAAATTCATTTTTATTATGAAATATAGCATATCTGAGAATTTTCTGAACGTTCGGCAACTCTGTCCGAATGAAGAATACGAAATGTCTGGATGACAGAACGGTGCATATAAGAGGGGCGCTGCTGCTACATGATAGTCTGACAAAGATAAAAGATTCTACGTATGTTGACACATCATCCGTTTTCCATTCATTTTCAAATATGTATTACAATTTATCAAGTAGCTTGTGACTTTTAAGCAAAAATTATCTATAAAAGTGAATGTCTGCCAGCATGACGTCTGACCCACAAGATGGAGAGACGTACAAATTTGTACACTTACTAATAATTGATACCCGAGTAAGGTTATACAGCATGTTCAAAATGTATGTATAGAACAAAATATCTTGATGAATGCGTTTTCTAAAGAAAAATGTCGTAGAACAAAGTTGTAAGGTTTGAAAAGATTAACCTGTTGATGAACTTGACCGTGAGCTTGACTATGACCTGCCAGGTCATCTGATAGGTCAAGAACGCTTTTGCAAACGAAACCCCTATTTTTGGCGCCCAAAATATGAGAGGAAATTTTACGTTAAAGTATTTGAGGGTGACCAGAAAGTAGGGAAAGGATAACATATCTCGAAATGTACGATTCATAAAGAAAACTTATGAATAATAGAGTTGTAAGGTTTTTAGAGGATGATTTAATGGTGACTTTGATCGTGACCTTGACTATGACCTTCAAACTCATTTGAAGGTCAGGACAGTTTTCTTAAATGGAAAAACAGCAAGAAACTTCATGTTCAAGTAAAATGTCTATGACCTTGACTATGACCATCAAGATTACACATTCATTATTTACCTAGAGACTTTTTCATTGTCATTAATAACCTTCAGGGGGACATGTAACTTCTCCTTAGAGGAATGCGGTAGTAATGAAAAAATATATTTAACATGTGTGAAAGCTTGGTGGTATTGAATTTTGTATGCAAAAAATATCCTATGATCGGATTATGTTCGTATCAATATGCAAATGCGTTCATCATGTTTTCGAGTTTATTGAACACAACAACGAGTAATAACATCAATAGTTCGGGTGATAGGGCCTATGAGATGAAAAAGCAAAATAGGCGGCAAAGTGAAGAGAAAAATACAAAATTGTTTCCATGAGTAAATTGGCGGTGGCAAGTTGGCTCTTACCAAGAATTATGTCAAATTGGTTGGTACTGCACACGAACTGGAAAGAGATCCTAGACAATCGAAGAAGGCCCGAAATTCCGAGGCAATTTAAGGAAATTCCCGGTAGTCCAAGGAAATCCGAGACAAACGAGGGCGATTTTCTATTCCACTGGGAAAGATCCCAGATAATTTAAGATAATTTTCTATCCCAGTGGGAAGAAGTCTGCGGCAATTCAACGTGACATGAGGCAGTCCAAGGAGACCTGAAGTTGCGAGAGGAAATTCAATTAGTTTCAGGTAACCCAAGGGAACCCAAAACAATCTAGGGTGATTTTCTATTCCACTGGGAGGTGACCGAGAAAATCCAAGAATTCAAGGAAGTTCCAGGTAGTCCAAGGAATGCAAGACAAACCAGGGTGAGTTTCTATTCCACTATTCCAAGGAGAACCTACGTTCCGAGAGGCAATCCAAGGAGTTACTAGGAAGTAAAAGAAAACCGACAACAATCCAGGAAGCTCTTCTATTTCATTGTGAGGAGATCTGAGACAATCCAAGAAGACCCTAGGCTTTGAGGGAATTAATGGATATTCCAGGTAGTCCAAGGAAATTCGAGGCAGATGATTATGATTTTCTATTCCATGGAGAAAGATCCGAGACAGTCCAAGGTGATTTTTTATCCTAGTGGTAAAAGATCTAAGTTAATCCAACGTGATATGGCACTCCAAGGAGATTTCATATAGTCCAAGAAGACCTGAAACACACGAGACCGATCTCCCAGACAGACACGCAGACAGTTTGAGCTTTTCAAGCCGTTCTGCCAAAAACTTGGATATATTAACTATAGCCGACGCTATTGGCCTAATAGCTTTATGAACTTTGTGAACGTTGGATTTGAAACTTGGAATTTGACTTTTAGTAGAGTGAAACTAGGTTGTTGCAACCATTCAACGTTTTCATTTGGTTGGCCATTTTTGTGTTTATTTATTTTTTTGTTGGTCGTGTCCTTCTGTCCTGTATTGCTGTTTGAAGATCTTCCTCTTGAGAATACTGATGTCTCATAGTTTCTTATGAAGGTTTTTAACAATCATATAATAAACCATCTAATAGGACTGATGGATGGTAGTATCCACTTCACAAGTTGAGCCGGAATTGTACCACAATACTGTTGAACATTTTAATAAAATAAATGATCGTACACATATCCCCCAAACGTCTATATTTTTTATAATATACACAAGCATACTTTAGTTTTATTTAAAAACAAAACTCCAAAAAATCTAATAGGCCTTTTGTCTTCTATGAGTATATTGATTATATGATTTCCCCTCTATTGGTATGTTCCCTAAAAATGGCGTTGTAGGTTTTATTGCCCGTGCTATACCATAAACTACCAGCATATAGAGGCATCGAATTCTGGCACATACATCGAGCCTACTTGGATGTAATATGCAAACGCTATGTCGGGGATGAAAACACGCCACATCCTCATGGGGCAAGCGGCAGTGATGTTATGACTGGCGTGGGGAAATGACAGACATAATGCGAATATAAGCGGGAACGATAGGATGTCGGGTTCACAGGGAGGAGATGAGAGAATAACGATATATCTTAAAAGAAATCTCTCACCGTGGCATGTGTAAACACAAATGACGGTGAATATTGCGGGGTGCTAGTGGTCTTGACAAAATTGAAACCCACGCCCTGTCATATGTACATAATTATGCATGCTTCTGTTTCAACCTTGACGTTTGTTAGGGTGTCTTAGCTGTCGAGCGAAGTGAAATTAACAATTCGCGATGACTGAGACAAAAACAGCATGTTCATTAAGAAACACAGAAACACACCGAATGTAGGGTGATTCAGAAAACCTTTATACAGGGTGATTCCGAAAATATGGCAATACCTCAAGAGTGGATCAAGATGTTTACTTGAAATTTTGTATATGTGGTGCTGACATGATGGCCATGCAGGTTTTTCTACAAGATGACAACTTAGAACTAGCTGTTGTTCACTTGATGTGCACTCGTTCTGTAGCTGTACCTGCCTAAACGTTATGACGCTTTAGCTATCAATCTTTGGTTTCGATGTGATGCTGTTGGAGGTCTAAGCAGTGCATAGGTGCATATTGGGGAATTTAATTCAAGCAGTTATTTAAAAATAAGGAGGTATAAAAATATTTTATATAGAATTAAGATAATTTTTTTAAATTAATTTACTAATTGATGATAATTCCAGCGGTTTCTTGTCTCAAAATACTTGAGATACACCCACAGCTAGAAACTAGAACCGCATCCAGTTTTTCTTATTCATCATAAAAACTAAAATTACATATGCAAATTTGCTGAATTTCAAAAATGGCAAAGAAAAGAAAATCCCTGGTTGGTGTAGTATGTTACAACAGGTAAGAAAATAGGCCAGAATGGAATATTTATGAAACGTCAAAAGGTTATTATATTTTAAATTATTTTTCATTTAAATGTTATAGAAACTTATTTTGCGATGTGAAGTAGAAAATACAAATCAGCGCCTAGATGTATGGGACTGCGAATATGTTCTGTGTGTAATGCGTCATTCCTAATTTTTCTGTTATGTGGTTTGATTTCACACAACGCGACCGCGGCGGTGATTTCCTCTCAAGGTTTTTGAATTCCCAAAAGAAGCGAGGAAATTATACTTTGAACATGACCTGACTCTTCAGAAAGGACAACACAAATAACTGGTCTGGTACAGCTAATAGATATACTTCACGGGAAGCATATTCAGTAACCATTTTCTCACATGGCAAATATCATTAGTTAAATACACATGCAAACCAATACACAAAATCACCAAGAATCATCTAGATGTGAGCTTGGTATTCAACTAATTTTCTTTCATTGACAGTTTACGTTTATTTGACCTTATATAGGTTTTTTACGCAATAACCCTGCCGTGCTGCAACTCTAGGATGCCAGCAACGTCACCAAAGAAGTACGTCGCTAGATATCGACTTTTAATATGTCAGTGAGACATTTGTAAGGTATCCCATGGTATCATCATGACATTGTTCCTCAGGGTTCGGTCCTAGGACCAATCCTTTATTCGCTTTTTATCCATGATGTCCCTTGCCCCAGCAACTGAAGTCTACCTATAGGCTGACGACACTGCACTTGTCGCCCAGTCGTGTACTGGTGATCTGGTTCACGATGGGTTGCAGGGTGTGGTGGAAGAAGTACTAGAGTGGGCGGAACGGTAGCTGATTAAAATTAATCATTCGAAAACGCAGGCTATTTATTGTACCAAAAAACGTCGCGGCCCCCCAGCAGAGGTATCTGTAGGTGGCAATCGTGTACCATGGACAAATTCTGCCAAGTACCTCGGTGTCACCCTTTATAAAGGCATAACCTGGCAGAAACATACAGCAGCCTTGAAAACAAAATTCCAAATTGCGTTTCGACAACTATATCCTTTGTTACGTAGGTCCTCCAAACTGAGTTTGATAAACAAAGTTCGCCTATATAAAATGATTATTAGACCAGCCATTCAGTCTTCAAGTACTGCAAAGTAGAACTTTGCAAGCAATTTGCAACGCTCCATGGTATGTCTCAAACGAGACACTACACAGAGACCTTGACATTCCTTACTTGAGGGATTATGTCAAGCTTCAGGCGCAGCGACGTTATAGTCAAGCGGAATCGCACGGCAACCCTCTGATGCGCGAATCAGTGGACTACACAGTGGAGCAAGTTCGTAAACATTCAAGGACACGGCTCGCACAGTAATAAAAAATTAGCGCGAACTTTTAGTACACTTAAAATTACACTCTAACAAAATTGAATCAAAAATTTGTTTAGTTCACCTCAAAATTAATCCGTGTACCAAGTCAAAAAGCCTAGGTGTCTCCTCTTAAACTAAAGACTTTCTTTTCTTCTCCATTTTCCTTCTCTTTCGCTTTCTCTTTTTCCTTGACATTGTCTGGTTTCTGGGCAACCAGTACTGACAGATTCGACTAACGTACATTAGACAGTGACGAATGAGCAAAGGTCCTACGGACCGCCCAGACAAACAAAACGAATAGTAACATCGCGACATATGAAAACTATATTTCTCTCTTAAGAGAAACCGGCTCAGTCTCTATCAGAGATGACGGGATCTATTCAACGTTTATTCGTTCTTTCATTCTTTCATTCTTTTTGGCTGTATATAATGAATAATCACGATCTCTTCGAATTCCATTATGAAACTACGAAAATGATGATATCACTGTCACTGGACAAGTAATGTGGCTGGCTACTCTGTGACTACTCTCTGAGAACCTTCGACGTTGCCAAAACCTTTACTACGGTTATCATTCCCATCATGTATATTGACGATTAGCATAACTCGCGTCCTTCGAAAGTGCATCTTATTGTCCAACTGATATGATATGAACCATTTCACTGTGCTTATTTCTCATGGAACCTGACAGGGCCGCAGACGAATTATTAGCAATAAGTCCTGAAACGTCACCTAGTGTACCTCGTTTGTCTACGACATAGCCGTTAAAGCTCACGACCGCATCTAGACACTAGATGCCGAGATAAATTTGATTTGTTATGTAATTTATTGGGTGGTGGTGTCGTATACCGGGGGATATAGAGCAAAATATGGTGTGTAACACTTGTTACTTACAAGAGGCCGTTCTACGTCTACTAAGAATTTCCCGAAACCGGCATTGCTTTTGCTAAGCTGTTATATTTATATTTTTGAAAAAATGACAAAACAGCTCGTACAAGAGCATCTCCTTTTACTTGACGACGAAAATCGTTCGGCAGAAAATATGTAGTTTCGCCGAATACCGTTGTATAGCGAGATTTTTGTTTTGGAATGTTCGAAATACAAATAGGGGAAGAGTAGGTAATACGCCCCACTTTTTTTCAAGGGCCTATTGAAAGAAAACATTTGAAGATATCGGCAAGATCTTAATCAGGGGCATAGCTTGGCTCTTTTACAACGTAAAGACAGATGTTACATTGATCTAAATCGTTTAGACAGATATTGATTGCATATTTTCCAGAACCTTGAGTGGGGCGTTTTGTCAACTGACCCTCAGGTAATACGCCTCGCACGAGTTGCAAAATGCCCCACTACCTTCAATATTATATTAATTTGAAGATATAAGCAATAATTGAAAAAATGAACATTCAAATAACTTTAATGAATATCAGAGTAAGATACAGCACTTCTGATGAAATAAAACTAGAATATTACTTTTGTACAAACAAAAATGAAATGATAATTCGACACTATTAGTGTTTGATGAAGTGATAAAATGAATCTTTGAAATATAATACATAGGTATATAATGTTTATACGCATGAATGGAACTCATTTCTGGATAGATGCCCTTTTAGCTTTTCGTCCACAACGATTACACATAGGAGCATACATTGTACAAAATTCATGCAGCCATGCTGAACAAGTGGGACATTGGATCCAATCCTCTGTAGATTGTGTTTGGTAATAGTTTTCAGTACATTCGGTACATCTGTTTGGATCCTCATCAGATAGCTCTTCTTCCGACTCCTCAAACGTCTCCATATTTTCATCATTGCTATCTGAAGACGATGAATCCCACGCATTCTTCTTTGGCTTCTTCTTTAACACCTTTTTACCTTTTACTCTACTACTCTACTCATCCCTTTTCTTCGTATTAGTCACTTTTGTTTTAGCCTTCTTGAGTTTATTACTCTCAGCTTCAGCTTTAATCTTTCTTTTATTTGCCAGTAATGTTCTTTTCTCAATATTTTCCGGTGAAGTGAGAATGATTGCTGTTTGTTTCCTTTTGGACAGATTTTTTGGTAGTTTGGGCACTGGATGTATTTCACTTAGAACTTTGGAAGGCGTTTCTTTGTCTTTTACATCAGAAGATGGAATGGCTTCTTCAGGCGTTTTATCACAAATGCCTACTTGTTGTGATGCATCATTTTGTGGGTGCTTTTGCGGCGTATTCACAGATTCGTCATCATGTAGGGAGACTGGAGTGCTGTGGAGACCTGACGTTCCTGGCTGTGACAGAATCTCAGTTGCTGGTGCAGTATTTCCTGTAAGACTCTCATCAGTACTTCTTGTACTTTGATTGTTGACTTCGTCAATGTCAACTAAATTTTGCTCTTGTAGCGAATCTGATAATGAGAAATGATAGTTTGCAACAGCATGGGGATCAAATGGATAGATACCGCAGCACTTCAACGCTGAAACACCTTTGGATACAGTGGCGGCCTTACCTCAAGCCTTGCCAATCAGTTTTGAGACATCATAGCGCGTCAACTTCTTTTCTCTATTTTGTACCATCCAAGATTTAGCTTCTTGTGCAAAAAACATTTTGAGTGGCCTAAAAAAGGCCTTGTCAAGAGGCTGAAGTACATGCGTTGTGTGGCTTGGTAGGCATAACAGTATCACATTATTTTCTTTGGCTACTTCTAGTACCCGAATATTGGTACTATGCGAACTGTGACCATCTAATATTAATAAAGTCGTTCGAGGACCTTTGTGTCGTAAAAATACTTCTTCAAACCACTGCATGAACAAGTCCGAGTTAATATAGGATGATTTTTTATTCATAAGGACCCGTGATCCTGGTGGAAGCCCTTCAGAAAACTGGGGCTTAGTGTAAGTTCCCTTATATATTAATGTAGGAGGCATGAAATTACCTCCAGCATTGCAACATGCTATAACTGTCACATTTTCACCTTTTTCACAACTTGTGAGAGTATATACATCTTTGACCCCTTTTGTTGCCACTACTTTTCCTGGCTTGTTATTAACCTGAATCCCTGTCTCATCCATGTTATATATATCTTCAGGATGAGATGCAAAGTCATTTTCTTCGTAAATTTTGGCCAAAAGGTCATAAAAACATTGAATGTCTTTTCTGTTTACTCCATATGCTCGTGCAAGTGATAAGCCTTCTGATTTTCTTTGAGTTAGTTCTGGATTTCTTTTCATAAATCCAGTAAACCACACCCTACCAGCTGATCCCGACCTTTCAGAAAATGTATGTTTGATGTCAAGTTTTTTTGCCAACTGGAAAGCCATTTCCCTCACATCATTTCTGTCTGGTGCAAAACCAACTTTTTCCAATTTTTGTATATGTGCTACAAGTTTTCTTTCATATTCAACTGAAAATACAGGGTTGCGGCCAAGGGGGACCTTTGATTTTCCCGTTATAAGGTGTCTTCTCAATGTTCTGGATGGTATTCCAAAACGTCTGGAAGCCTCATTAATGCCCATAATTTTTCCCCGGACTTGCTGCATCTCCTCTTCCAAATCTTCAGCTGCCCATGACGCTCGTAGTGACTTCCGTTCATATTTTCGTGACATATCCTGGAAAACATAAGAACCATGAATAATATTTGCGGTTTTAATGGTGGGGCGAATTATAAACCATACAATGGGGCATATTGTAAAATATGGTGTCTAAAACGCCCCACTCTGATGCAAGAAAGGAATTTTAGGTTATGTTGTTTGACACACACAGAGCATGAAGCCAATTTTATATGTTTTAACATGGTGCATATAAGTTTGGAATAAAACAAATAGTATTAACGATATATAAATTTGTTTGGAACTTACCACAAATTGTCCGACCACTGAAAAACTATCCTTTGCAATATTTTTTTAACAAGCTACAGCACGCGTGTAGGAACATAAACCATGTTGCCGGCAGACTTTCTTCGATACGCGGATGCCGCATTGTGCCGAAAAAGTGTGCTTGTTTCAGTGAAACGCTAGTGGGGCATTTTGTCAACTGGGGCATATTACCTACTTTTCCCCTAATAAAAAAATTCTATTGCTCGATTTTACTAATGACCCGCGGGAATCAAAATTTGTAAAGTAATGGAATATGGTCGATTTTTTGTAAGACATTTTGGCGATTGTGTAGATAGGCACCAAATTATCAGATTAAATTAAGAAATACGTCATATATCACCTGGTTTAGATACCATTACTTAT